CCAGATCTCGACACATACCAAGCAAGTAATTGAAAAGATCATAGTTTCGATCAGGTGCTACTTAGTCTCCAAACTGACATCATTGCTCTTCAGCACTTTGGAGAGGTCCCTGACAGCAGACTTTTCCAATGCAATACATCTTTTGATTGCCCGGTTGTTGAGTGTGTGAAAAATATGGAACCAAATTAAAAATTAATATTTTTTAAAAATCAGACTTACTGGCCTGGTGGAGACTTCTGAAACCTCGAGACTCGCCCTTAGACATCAGTGGTGTCAAAGGTTTATTGCTCAGAACGGCTCTCCTACCCTTTGATTATAGAGCTCTGGTGGCCTGCACTGCAATCACAAAGGCACACTGTTCAAATCCACCAACTGCTCTGAGGGAGAATGATAGGCAATCTCCTCCTGAAAGATTCACTGACTCTGAGAGCCCACTGGAGGGTCAGCTATAAGTCAGTTCCAACCTGACAGCACACAATCATTGATTCATTGTCTATTTTGTGATGCAGTATTTATTGTATTAAGGAGATAGGATTAGGAAGGGATACAAGCCCACCCTATATATAGAAGTTCATGGGAGCTTAATGCTAGTTCTCTCTTTTAGGATACTTGCTGTCATGGGATGCAGTGTTCAGCTGCACCTGGTCCACCACTCACCATCTCTGCCTCACTGACCTGCATCACTCACAAGCACAAGAGTCATTTCTCTGACGTTTGAGCCTCTGTGAGACCTTCAGAGAACACTCACTGAACATGTCCCTTGGACATAGAGGAGTGGAGGAACTGAACGAACAGTCAGTGCTGGAAATTGTGGACAAGAGATCCGACAACTGAAACATTGCTGAATTCCCCCTTTTTTTGACTTTTTTACTATTTTCTTTTTGTTCGTGTGCCATCAAATCGGATCTGATTGGTATAGGAGGAGATTGCCCCTCCTTCTCCAGCAGAGCGTCTGGTGGATTTTAACTGTGTGCCTCTGGGATTGCAGTGCAGCTTCTTGCCACTAGGCCACTGGAGTTCCCTGACTTCACCCTTTTTGTAACTAGTCTACTACTCATCTTAGAACGAATTATGAATGCAACATCCTTCAAGCCCAGAACTGGACTCATTCTCCTGACCCAACTTACTGCCAATCAATAGACAAGTGTTTAAGGTAAAGAAAGCACATACTCCTCAGAACAATCAACCGTACAAGAATGAATGGGCAGCATTTGCCTGAGGATAGAGCTCAGGAGGAAAGAAGGACAAATGGAAATAATAAGCACAAGTAGGAAAGAGCTATCAAAACGTAGGCATAATAATCAATGACATGAAACTTGACATATGTGAATTATTAAATGGAACCCAATTTGCTCTGTAAATAAATTTCACTCAAGCCACAATGAAAAATAAATATTTTAACTCATTGATACATGAGTAGGTGGATGGGTGTGTAATAATGACAGTATAATAAAATAGTGGAATCTAGGTGGTGAATATACAGATACTCAATGTAAAATCATTTCGTATTTGCAGCATTGGTGTGTGAGGTCGAGTCAGAACCAATTCATAGCTGACCCTCTTTTGGGTTTTCAGAGGCTGCAAATCACGTGGGAGAAGATCGTTTATCTAGTTTTGGTCTAGATGGCAGATTGCCCACCTGGTAGACTCGAACTACATGCCTTTGGTTTGGCAGCACAACTTCTTACCATGAGGCTGCCAGCAGTAGTGTGTTTGAAAACCTTCAAAATTTATCTTACATGTAGAGATAAGGAGTATCTGTGATAAGATGCTGCTATTCTACAAATAAAGAATGATGTCATGAGCATGAGACATGAAGAACATCGCCTTCATTGTGTAAATGCAGGCTCCTCCCTCCTTGATGTGTCACTTGTTATAGACTTGCTTTTGTTTGCTTTCCTTTTCTGAATATCTGCTTGATCAAGGAAACTATTAATTCCCCAAGGGCAAGAACACTTTGTCTCATATTTTTTATCCAAAGTCTCATATCTTTGTCTCCTATTTTTTAATCTCAGTTTTTATATTGATGGAACTTTGGAGCTGAAAGCAATGCTTGTAGCTTTCCACTGCAGACATCTCTCTCCCAGTTCACAGATGGAGAAACTGTGGGCCCACAGAAATGAACTACCCACAGAGTATGGTCTGTGGATTTAAATCCAAGACTCTGGATGTTAATGCAAGTCTCCCAACACCGAGGCCAACACTTGAGGAATGTATTGGAGAGACTTTGTAGATGAGGGTGAGCACTCAGGTCCTGGCAGTGGTCAGGAAATCTGACCCAGGTCTGTTGCTTTCCTTTTGTAGTATTCATAAGCAAGTGCTCTTGGTTCTCGGAGCCTGGTTTTCCCATCCATATGATGAATGTAAAAAGAAGACTTCTATCATTACCTTTTGGGGAGAGTTAATGGTGAGTGAATTAAAGTGCAGCCAGAGTGCTTCTTAGAGTCAAAGATGGTGAAGCTTTACCTTTCATACTTTCGACATGTCGCTAGATGGGGCTATTCCTTGGAAGGGGCCACCTTGTTTGGAAAGATGGATGGTCAGCTAAGGAGAGGAAGATCCCCAATGAGATAGATTGACACAGTAACTTCAGCAAAGGACTCTATGTGTCAGAGATAAGGATGCAGATAGGGCAGGGTTCAGGTTGGCTGTTCCTAGGGTCACTATGAGTTGTACCCAACTTGATGGCACCTAACAACAGTAACAACAGTATGTGCTCAGCTGTTGCTGTTAGGTACAATCAAGTCAATTATGACTCATAGCAACCCTGTGAACAACACATCTGAACCTTGCCCATCCTGCATCATCCTCATAATCTTTGATTCCTTGAGCTTTGACTTATACCCAGATCTAAAAACTGGCCTGTCTTTCCATGTCATTGGTAAAGAGACTGGCCCTATTTGATATCAGTGTGTGTCCACTTTAGCCTTTCATCATCATACCCTCTACTCCCTGAGAAGATCTCCCAATTTGATCTCTTTCTTCTGCCTTAATTCATTAATTCTTCCTTCTTACTGGTACAAAGAGAGCTCTGGTGGCTTAGTGGCAAGGAATTTTGTTGCCAGTGCAAAGGTATGTGGTTCAAATCTTCCAACTGCTCCACAGGAGAAAGATGGGCAATCTCCACTGTGCAATTTACTGCCTCTGAAAACCTGCTTGACAATCAGCTCTGAGCTGGTTCCAACACCACAGGAACACAACTGTCCTCCACGTTTTCAGAATATCCTTTGTAGCCTCTCAGACTGTCTATCTCCCTCCAGTTACTGAACATGTGAACTTGGTTATGTTTTCTGTATGGGCCTTTGTGCATTAAAAAATGAGTCAATAACGGTACCTCTTGCCTAACAGGAAGATTGAAAAGACTCCGTAATATCATGCACGTAAAGTCTACAACAGGAAACGAGGTGTGCCTTCACTGCACAATAAATACAAGTATTATTACTTTCCCTTTGATGCCATACATCTTAAACAAGGAAATTGCCCTGCTGGGCTCAACCCAGGCTCCTGTCATCCTCTCTCCAGAGATTCTGTCACCACTACTGGCCTGAAGTCATTCCCCTTGTATGGGTGCTCCCTGAAGGGTCAAGCATGAACTTTGGACATTACTAAAGCATGGCTGATCCCTGTTAACTCTTAGGTCTCATCATCCTGAGATCTCCAGCTTAACTCACCTGGGCACCAGAGCCCTTACACCTTCAACAGAGTAATGAAGAACAAAACAACACATACTTTAAGGAGCACAGTAGTGTATTACATTTATTCATTTATTAATTTCATCTTCGGTCCAGCCTTCTTGAGGAACTCCATAAATCTACATTCCCCCCTAAGTTCTTCCCAGTCATTTCAGCTGATATGACAACAGGAACATGAGTCTGTTTAACAAGGCCAGGCCATCAGATCAGGGAATGATGTTTCTGATGCTCTGAGAGAGAGAAAAAAATGAAATAAACGTTGAGGCCCAGAGCACACAATCATAAAGGGGACCAAGATGCTTCCATATCCAAGAGAAGTGAGAGGGAGACTGGCCACTTGGACCCCAAGAATCACTGTGTTCGGGGAGTTATCTAAAGAAAGTGACACCTGGATCTAGGAAGAATGGGGGCGGGAGGGGGCCAAGGCCTCTGTAGGAACCAAGGAGCCTTGTTTGTTTTGCTTTAGAGGAATTCCTCCAACCTCCAGTTGGTGTGGAATCTGTTTTGACTTGCAGCAACCCCATGTGTCAGAGTAGAACTGTGCCGCACAAGGGTCTTCAGTGGCTACATTTTTCAGAAATAGATCACCTTTCAAGCACCTCTGAGTGGACTCAGACCACTAGCTCCTTAGGTAGCAGCCAAGCACATAGCCATTTGCATCACCCAGGGACTCTTACCCACAAAACCTGGGAAAGCAAAGGGGTACGACTTTCTGTACCAGGTAGGAGCCTACAAGGTGGTTACACACCCTCACGTCTTTGCCCCAGTCTCAGGGGCTACATGCAAGAGAAAAGTCAGAACTTTACTTTGGTCCCAGAGTGAAAACTGGAAGTCAAACAAGTCATTAAATGGAAGAAAAGTTCCCCAAAACCAGGAAAAGAACAGAACCGCAGGTTCCCATCACCCAGAATATGGATGAAAGGCAATAAGGAAGACAGCAGAGGAAATCCAGCCACTGAGAATCAGACGCAAGATGCTGAGGAAAGATGACGAACACGCAGGGGCTGGGGGTGATGGGGAAGGATAGATTTGGCAGCCCCTTCCTCCCTCTATGAATCCTTGAGGGGCATGAACTCTTAGAGGTTTCTCCTCTCAGTGTACATTTCCTTTCAGAGAAACTAAAACAGCCCAAAGAAAACCAGAGCAAGTGATGAAAGGGAAGACTATAGCTGGGAAAACAGGTTGGATGGCCTCTCAAAGGGCTGAGAAATCTGCCCACAGTGAAATTGTCCATGAGCCAGTTGGAAGTGGACTCAAGAGTATCTCCCAAGATAAAGTTGAGAAAGCAGAAACCCTGTGGGCACTTACCCTCCACAGAACTGAAAAGTCCACGAAGGGCTTGTTGACTGAGGCCTAGAATCCAAGGACAAAGATCAATCACCAGCATATATCCCACCACCAACCCAGGGGAAGCTCAGTGGCCTTTATTTCCCCATCTAAGTTCATGCTGTGCTTGAAAGACTTACTCCAGATGTCACTGTTGTGGTTCCGGCCCCTCCGTGCTGGCCGGTGTATCCGCCGTGATGACCGCCCTGTGAACAAAGCCCAGGCCAACATTACAACTCCCTCAGCCGTGAGGGATCTGCTCCCCCTCCAGGGTGACTGGGCTGTTAGGGGCAAGGAGGTAGGGTTACTTTTCCTCTCCCTCAACTGTCAGAAAATAAAACCCAAGGGAATTTCCCATGGTTGCTTCTGGAATTCTGTGAGAGCTGAGAAGAAAATCCAGGAAGGTTTTTCTATGTCCTACTGACTAGTCTTCCCCAAGCTTCCTTTTATTTTAATTTAATTGTATGTAATTGTTCTAAGTCACTAAGAAAGATTCTTTCTGGAAAGGGAACTTCCAGAGGGTCCACACAAATACAAGGCTATACTTTCTTACCCTTAGCCAAATCCACCCCCTCTACACACAAGCCAGTCTTCTCTCTGTCTGTACTCTGACATTGAGCAGCACCTCTCCAACAGCACCCGAGCCCCAGTCACTGCTGTTAGCCTCAAACCCTAGAACAAATCTGGCCTAAATCTCCACAGCTTCTCTGAGTCTCAATTTCCTTATCTGACAATCAAGAGTCAGCATCCTCACCCTCACTACTTTAAAGGGTTGTTGGGAAAATTAAACAGAATACAGCTTATCTCCAAAAGCTATTTCTCCTGTTCACTCTAGGCCTTTAAAACTCCTTAATTAAGCACAGATGGCAACACCCTAGAGACAGTATTTCCACTTGTGCAACTCAGCTTTGTAGAGAAGGTGGTTTAATCCACCAGCTCCTTTGTGAGGGAGATGAGGAATGAAGAGGGAGGACCAATATTATCATTTCCTTAACGTTTTTTTCACCAAATGAAGGTCACATGGGTTTCCCCAAATGTCCCAAGGGTATAACCTCTCCCTCCCCCAGCCCATTTCTCCCCAGTGTCCCCACCCTTGTTCACCTACATTCAGCAGCTGATTGGCCTCCTTGCCGGCTTGGTTGGCCCCATTATGAACATTCTGCTCCAACCTGTCCACCTCCTTCCCAGCCTGGCCAGCAGCTTGGTGGACACCTTGGCCAAGTTTCTCCGCTTCCTTTGCAGCCTGGCCAGCAGCCTGGTGGACACCTTGGCCAAGTTTCTCTGCCTCCTTCTCGGCCTGGTGGACCCCATTGTGGACCCCTGGGACCACACTCTCTGTCTCCTTTCCAGCCTGTTCAACAGCATGGTGAACATCCTGGCCAAACTTTCCCACTTCCTTCCCAGGCTGGTTAACTTCACGATTGATCCCATGAGCCAATTTGTCTCTTCCCTCTTTCCCAGTCTGCACAACAGCATCATGAACCCCCTGGCCAAACTTCTCTGTCTCCTTCCAGGCCTCGTTGACCCCATGATGGACCCCCTGGCCAGCCTGATTGACTCCAGGATGAACACCCTGAACCACTTTCTCTGTCTCTAGCCCAGCCTGACCTGCAGCATAGTGAACATCTTGACCAAAATTCTCCATTTCCTTCCCAACCTGGTTAGCTCCATGATGGATTCCTTGGACCACTTTGTCTCCATCTTTGCCAGCCTGTGCAGCAGCATGGTGAATACTGTGGCCAAACTTGTCTAGTTCCTTCCCAGCCTGTCCAGCAGCATAGTGGACACCCTGACCAAACTTCTCTGCTTCCTTCCAAGCTTCATTGGCTCCATGATGGATCCCCTGACCAAGCCTCCCTGCCTCATTTCCAGCCTGCCCTAAGACATGGTGGCCCCCCTGGCCAAGCCTCCCTGCCTCACTCCCTGCCTGTCCTAAAGCATGATAGGCCCCCTGGCCAAGCCTCGCTGCCTCATTCCCTGCCTGTCCTAAGACATGGTGGGCCCCCTGGCCAACCCTCCCTGCCTCATTCCCTGCCTGTCCTAAGACATGGTGGGCTCCCTGGCCAAGCCTCCCTGCCTCACTCCCTGCCTGTCCTAAAGCATGATGGGCCCCCTGGCCAAGCCTCCCTGCCTC